TGTGTGTGTGTGTGTGTGTGTGTGTGTGTGTGTGTGTGTGTGTGTGTAGCTATGGATAGAGGACAGAAGGGGCAGTGGTCCCTTGAAGTGAAAGTTTTGGGTGTTTGTAGCCTCCCAGTGTAGGGTACAAACCCTGGCTGTGGTAGAACAGCAAGCATTCTAAACTGCTGCGCCTTCTCTCCAGCCCCTACTGTCGTCCATTTTATTGGTTCAGCTTTTATTTTGGCACTTCTCACATAGACTATTTCCAGATCCATCCCTTCATACTGTACCCTGAGCTTCTAGGATATCATAAATAAGGCTCTGGAAGCTCCTCCATTGCCAAAGGCGAAATCCTGTCATGTATGGCATAGCCATTTATGAGTCAGTGCGCGTGGCTGAAGTTCTCCGGTCTGTCCACAGGGACTTCTACAATAAAGCTCACTTCATTCCCCTGCAGGAGCTTCAGAGAGACATCGAGAAACACAGCACAGGTGTCGCCTCCGTCCTCAACTTGTGCGAGGTCCTGCTGCATGACTGTGATGCCTGTGCCACGGATGCTGAGTGTGACTCCATTCAGCAGGCCACCCGGAACCTGGACCGGCGGTGGAGGCACATCTGTGCGATGTCCATGGAAAGGAGACTCAAGTGAGCTGGGTGTGAAGTTACAGGCCAAAACACAACAATGAAACAAGCAAAAACCCAAACCAAAACACTCCCTCCAGCTTTCCATTCACTGTATACACTCTTTACTGTTTCCAAGGTTAGAACGTTCAAAAATAGCTTTGGCTTCCCAAAATTGCCACTACTTACATATAATTGCAAATATAAACAGGCAAATAAGTAACCTTCTTTTATTAAAATTCCATTCTTCACAGTGTTAAGTTACATAATACACCCTCAAAAAAGGTAAATATTTTATGTTGTCTCTAGCTCTAGATTTGGAAATCTAGGTTTGAATGTGTAGATAGCACATATAAATCTAGACTTAATTGTATAGATAGCTTATGCTTAAACATACAACATGGAATAGAAAGGGGAGGAAGGGCTCCAGAAGACAGGAGGTAAAGGAGGAGGGGAGCAGAACATACAGACCTGAGGGCGGGAAGAAGCATTTAGGAGAAGAGGCCCGTAGAGCGGGAGGGACCGTGCGAGGGCCGCGGGAGAGCAAATAGCCTAGTGGCACACACGCCTGAAAGTGAGCGATGCACTGCAACCCAGCGCTACCTGTGCCACCTTCGTTCCATAACAGACACCCTCAAGCCCTTTGGAAACGACAGTGGCAAAAACTCAATGGCCAAACCCTCTGTGGCCTAAAGCACAAAGCTGTGCTGCTCTGTGGCCAGTACTAAAAGCTCTGTGTTTGTCAAGGTTGACTGTCCTGAGCCTGAAGTGAGCCCTGAAGGAATTTCCAACTTCAGCTTTATGTAAGGGCGCACTGCCCCACACAGTGGCTATGCTATGCGTAGGGTTTCTGACCTTCCGTGCAAACACCAAGGCTGCTCATGCAGTTTTATATCCACTTTGACCAGTTCCAGATTCAGAGCTGCAGGGCAACACGTTAAGCCAACAGCTGTTCTATTTTAGCTGCAACAGTTGTCCGTCTTTCTCTCCGGGCGGTTTGGCTCAAAGCTGTTCTTGTGCACAGCAGTTGCTTGTTTGGGCACTCTTAATCCTATTGAAGGGACAGATAGGGTTCCGGCGTCACCATCCTTGATAATGGAGGTGTATTCTATCTCCTGCCTCAGAATTGAAGAGACATGGCGACTCTGGCAGAAGTTTCTGGATGACTATTCACGTTTTGAAGACTGGCTGAAGATTTCAGAAAGGACGGCTGCATTCCCCAGTTCTTCTGGGGTGCTCTATACAGTTGCCAAGGAAGAGCTGAAGAAGTTTGAGGTGATTCATACTGCCAAATATTCATGGCTCATCCTGCTGGTGGCTATGCCGTAGGGCATGAAGTGGCTAATGTGCCTCCTGTTATCTGCTTAGATAACTGGGGGATGGCTTGGTAGCCATGGGTAACAGGGTTCATGAGTGGACAAAGGGTGATGAAGATTTTAATTGACGATTATCAGAATTACAAATACGATAGTAATAAACAAAAATGTTTGCCAGTTGCAGTAGCAAAGTCTCATAATCCCAGCACTTAGGAGGTTGAGGTAGGAGGATATTAAGTTCAAGGCTAACCCGGCTTATAAGTAAAGAAGCCTTCCTGTCTAAAGTGAGGAAAGAGAAGAGAGAAAGAGAAAAGAATTCTCTTGGAAAACAAGATTTATAATTTCCCCCCAAGCTCATGGAATTATTCTTCATCTGTCTCCTCTAGGATTAAAATATGAACATTTCTGTAATATGAAAATCTGTAAATGTATTCTCTCAATTATTTCAACCTAGCTAGAGTGCTTATAGATAAACAGTATGAGAAGACCAGCAAGAGTCAGGAGGAGGGGAAGGTGAGACAGTGGGGGAGGGAGGCAATGAGAGCAAAGCACATTGCACAGAAATGTACTTTGTATGCTAGCTCAAAGAATTAAATAATCAAATATATAGGAATGGTTTTAGTCACTGATAACATAGAGTTGGACCCAAATTGACTAGAGAATTATCATTAGAGCTAACTTTAAAGAAAGCCACAGAGAGCAGCTCTTGAGTCTCAGACACTTTTACATTTCTAAGATATGAAAATAGTAACACTTAATTACATTTAGAGAGGAGCCATTAAATCAATCCATTGCCTTCTTCACAATCGTAGGTCCACTGTGTAGCTCTGTGGTGCCCCGAACTGTAGCCATTCGGCTAACTCTGATTCCCACAACAACACTGGTGCAGATGGAACCAACATTCTCTACATACGCTGACACACACACGAGCCTTTGTACTCGCTGTAAATGGCCCTGTTGCATTCTAATCAGCCCTTACATGTGTCCCTTTCATAATTTTTCCCCGGCCTTCCTCAACATGTACATAAATGAAACTAATATCTCACCTCAATCCATATGTGACTCTGTTTTCTCCTGTGACATCAGTGAACCAAGCCTGGGGGGACACGGGAAATTTCTTCTGGTTCCTGCCTGCCTGACTTGCAGATCTAAAGCCTAGATGGAGAACTGTCTGATTATAATAGTGTTTGATGCTATGTGTGGGATAAGTCAGAGTGATTCTGCAGAGATCTACATGAAACTATACCACTAAATCCAGAAACAGAAAATGCCTTTGTAAAAGGTTTTCCCCAGCAAAAAGCCACCATAAGCCGCGGAAGAATCCAGGTCATTCCAGTGCTGGTGGAAGCGACCCTGTCCTGTGTCCTGCAGCACTCTGCTTTGTAAAGGTTAAAACCTTTCATAATTGGCTTATACCACAAAGCAGATTATGTGGGTCATTCTTGATGCTATTTTCGACACAGATTTCATGACGAAAGTAACTCGGACGGTCAGTGCTGAAGTAACTGCTTTTTCTGCCTATCTTTATTCTCATGTTTAGCTTTTTTGCAGACAGAAAATGTCAAAGAAACAAAATTCTGCTCAAGGCTCATCCATTTGCATGGATGTTTGGGAAGGCTCTGGGTGTGCTAGGATGCCCATGGTGAGGGCTATTCCATCACCTGCGCAGGCAGAGCTGCAGCCTGACTTCCCCTAAAGAAAAGCTGAATCTGCTGAGCATCTCCCACCTTTTCAGAACTGAAGACTGGACCTAGTATTCAGAACTGAATACTCGAATGGGTATTGTGAAGGCAGCTCTCAGAAGACAAATCACTTACAGGGCAGGCGTGCGAGCCTCTGAGCAGCGTAGCCAACAAAAGCAGAAGTTCAGGATGTACTTGAAAATAGCCCGCTGCACTATTTATAACGTTTGGGTTGGGGTCCGGGATAAAAATCAGCCACAGTTCCTGGGGCATGTGCCTAGGGCGAAGCTGTCTTTTATTTGGGTGGGTGTTTGGTTGGTTTAGCGATGCACTCTGCAGCAAGAGCAGGATGAGGTGCTAGCCACTGCAGAGTTCTCGCCACGTTTCGTGTCCTCAGGAGCAGAGCACCCATGCCATCTGGCAGTTTGTCCGCCTGGCACCCTTTCTGAAAGCTGATTAATTCATCAGCAGAGAAGAAAGGACCTGCTTCAAATGGTTATGTTTTTCTTTTTAATGGAAAGTTACTTGTGTTTTATACTAAACTGATTTTCTTAAAAGAGAGTTAACAGCTTACATTAGAGGTACTTATGTATGCCAAAGATGGTTTTAGTTTTATTCCTAATGGATACCAGGATTGAAGTGATTTCTACAGTTTTAGTAAATTACATATTCTACAAATAAATCGTGCCATTTTCGGTATCATTTCTCAGCACGGACACAGACTCTTGAGACCACTGCAGTCTGACATGTGGACACATGCCTATGTTCTTGAAATTGTTTCTTGGATAAGAAATTTTGTTTCCAGATTATTATTTATTTTGTATGTTCCCTTTTTTTGTTTTTGGGGACAGAGACTCATGTAGCCTAGGCTGACTTCCAGTTCCCTCAGTAGCATAGGATAACCTAAACTTCTGATAATTTTGCCTCCTCTTTTCCTCCAGACTGCTGGGATTACAGATTTGTGCCATCGCACTTGGCTTAGTTTTATTAATCATTTAAAAACCACCTTGCATGTGTACGCATGTGTGTACGTTTCATACGTGTGTATACTGGTGTACAAATGTGTGTGTGTACATTACTTTTCTGCGTATTTATTCTTAAAGCCAATGGCTCCTGGCAGTTCTGTGTTCTCTCTCTGGCTCTTGGTTGATATGCTGTGTCTGTGGTAGTGTGTCAGCCATACTTCCCTGACTCTGAAGTATGAAAACCAAGAGTCTTAGCCCAGAGCCCTTCAAGGATCTCCCACACTGATTCGCTTGTCTGTGGCCTCAGGCTTTCCAGCGGCAGGTCCACGAGAGCCTGACCCAGCTGGAGCTGATCAACAAGCAGTACCGCCGCCTGGCCAGAGAGAACCGCACGGACTCTGCGTGCAGCCTCAGACAGATGGTCCACGGAGGCAACCAGAGATGGGACGACCTGCAGAAGCGCGTCGCCTCCATCCTGCGCAGACTCAAGGTTCTCATTACGCCTGTCTGTGGTTTAGAGGCCAGAGCACAAGCTCTGACTGTCTCACACCGCAGTGAGACATGTTCCTGGGGAAAGTGGGAGTTGGGAGGGCAGGGGAGGATAGAGGTGAAGTAATAACTTAGGGTATTCCTTGCTTGTGTGGAATCGACTCCCCAGAAGGTTGGAGTTGGCTGGGACATATATGGTTATGGACGTTATAATACCTAACGTCTTCCTCTTTTTCCAGCATTTTATTAGCCAGCGCGAGGAGTTCGAGACTGCACGGGATAGCATTCTTGTCTGGCTCACAGAGATGGATCTTCAGCTCACCAACATTGAACATTTTTCTGAATGTGATGTTCAAGCTAAAATAAAGCAACTCAAGGTGAGGAGTCTGCAAAGTATCTGTGGGAAGGAAAACTGTAAAGGGAAGAGTTTGCAGGGCCTTTGCTGTAGAATACCCTAGAGAGCCATTGAAAAATTAGTTCTTTCGATCAGGAAAATATGCAGAAGATACTAAAGATATTAAATTTTTAAGTTTCTTTTCTCTTCTTTTTTAAAATTTTCTAGATAAGGTTTCTCTATGTAGTCCTGACTATTCTGAAACTCATTTTGTAGACCAGGCTGGCCTTGAACTCAGAGATCTGCCAGCCTTTGCCTCCCAAGTGCTGGTATTAAAGGTGTGAGCCACTATGCCCAGCAATGTTTAAATGTTTTAAAAGTGCTCTAATCCATTAACATAAGCACTTAAAGAAGGTCAACCTGGTTGTCAGTGATCGGGATTTTTGTTGTGGCTGTTGTTTAACATATCACTTATTTCCAAGATCTATACAAAGTTTAGGTGGCCCTCAGTTTCCAGAAAAAAAAAAAAAACCAACTTTCTTCTGCTTTAATTTTAAAAATTACTTTTATTTATTGTACATGCGTAGCAGGAGCCAGGGGTGTCCACATCCCACTGTGAGCATGTAGAGGTCAAAGGCCGACTTAAGGTTGATTCTCTCCTTCCGTTGTGCGGGTTCCAGGAACTGTGTCCAGGTCTGTCCTCACCCTTGGTGGCAGTGCCCTTAGCTACTGGGCCATTTTGCTGGCTCACGTGCAACATTCTTATGTTGAGATTTTATTCCACACATTCCACATTCTTGAAGGCTAAGTTAATTTTCAGTATGTATTGTATCATTCACTACATAATTCAGGCACAATAGCTAGCTAGAAGCCTTCACAGAAGAGATTTACATTGCATAAAAGAAGGCGTGTCAAGCTTGGTGATTTTCAAGACAATCTCTGAAGTTTTATCCCAGTGTAACCTGGATGTGGAGGCCCACAGGTGTCATTGCAGCACTCTGGAAAGAAAGAGAGGAGGACGTCTAAGCGTTGGACGTCAGCCTTGACTGGACAGTGCGGTCCAGAATATGGGCTGTAGACTGTGAAGCCGTATCAGATAACTAAAGCAAAACAAACAAGTACATCCTATGAGGCTGCATGGCGGTAATCCCAGCACTTGGGACATAGAGGCAGGTGGATCAGGAGTTCAAGTTCATATTTGTCTATGTACCGCGTTTGAGACTAGCTTATGCTACAGGCCCTGTCCCATGTGCTGGAAACTGAACCAGGGTATCGAACATGCAAAGTACAAACTATACCGCCTAGTCACCTCCTGTAATGCTCCACTGCTGTGTAGTTTGTTTGTTTGTATGTTTTGGGTTTGGTTTTTAAGAATAGTTATAAGGCCTGTGGTGGTTTGAATAAGAATGACCCCCTTAGGCTCATATAGTTGAATACTTAACTAGGAAGTGAAACTATTGGAAGAGATTAGAAGGATTAGGACCTATGGCCTTGGTTTATAGGGGTGGCCTTGTTTAGTAGGCGTGGCCTTGTTTAATACATGTGGCCTTGTTGGAGGAGGTGTGGCCTTGTTGGAGGAGGTGTGGCCTTGTTTAGCAGGCGTGGCCTTGTTGGAGGAGGTGTGGCCTTGTTTAGCAGGCGTGGCCTTGTTTAGTAGGTGTGGCCTTGTTGCAGGAGGTGTGGCCTTGTAGTAGGTGTGGCCTTGTTTAGCTGGTGTGGCCTTGTTGGAGGAGGTGTGGCCTTGTTAGAGGAGGTGTGGCCTTGTTGGAGGAGGTGTGGCCTTGTTTAGCAGGTGTGGCCTTGTGGGAGGAGGTGTGGCCTTGTGGGAGGAGGTGTGGCCTTGTTTAGCTGGTGTGGCCTAGTGGGAGGAGGTGTGGCTTAGTGGAGAGCAAGCGTCACTGTGGGTGGGCGTTCAGGTTTCTCTCTCAGCCTGTGGATCAGTATATAGCTCTTAGCTACCTCACGCATTAACCATGCCCCCTGCCATTGAAGATAATGGACTAAACTGTAAACAAGCCCCAATCAAGAGCTTTATTTTGTAAGAATTACCTTGGTCATGGTTTCACTCTACAGTAACTAAGACATTGCCTCAAACTTTTTGGTTTTTGTGATGAAACAAAAGAAATTACCCTTAATAGTAGCATGTTAAGGTGGAATAAAGTGCAAAATCATAAATACTGATGTTCTGCCCAGTGCTTTGACCTTCCCCACACAACTACCTCAATTCCTCCCACGGGCAAATCAATATTTGAACACTTAGACAAGATATTTCTTCCAATTGGTATTTGGAACTTTCCCTTTTAGATTCTGGCAGAGTGTTGGAACTCATTACTAGCCTCCATCTTCCTTGACGTTATGGACAATTTAAACCCTTCCAGGGTTTATTGTTGCACTGAAAGAACATCTCTCACTTGAAACATGTCCCCGTGATATCTCTCTGGAATCCTACAGAATGAGTGCAAATAATCTTTTGTTTTTTAATTGATTTTTCAAATCAGTATACCTTTATGCTCTGAGGCTTATGTTCCAAAACAAAAGAATCATGTGAGAATCTGTGGCCTCCCTTAGCGTATGTACGACATATGATGCGTGGTATGTGGAATGAATGAAAATGTTCATCTCCCGCCATTGTTTTTACCAAGAATCATTGGCACTATTAATAACCATGATAGTTGTCAATATTTCTCTGTTATTGTCTACCCATGCTACGTGTGGTGAGACATTCTCTTTTCTAACGTGTTTGTTTGTTTGTTTTGTTTTGTGACTCCCACTCTGCCTTAACATTGTATTTTACTTTAGAAAACAACTGCTCCATCTCGGTGCACATCAAGTCAGATAGCCTCTGCATGGTCTTTCTGACACTGTGGGCGATGTGTACCTCACTGTGGCATCTTTTTGAGCTGTGGAAAACCCACATTGCGTTTGCACCCTTTAGGCTTTCCAGCAAGAGATCTCACTGAACCACGGTAAGATGGAGCAGATCGTTGTCCGGGGGGAGCAGCTGATAGAGAAGAGCGAGCCTCTGGACGCTGCTGTCATCGAGGAGGAGCTGGACGAGCTCCGGCGCTACTGTCAGGAGGTCTTTGGACGCGTGGAAAGATACCACAAGAAACTGATCCGCCTGCCCGTAAGCAGCACTTACTTCTTTCTCATTAAGTCTAGCGAGAATTAGTTGTGGGGGCTTGGGTAGTCTGACAGAGTCAGGAGTCCAGAGTCTGGAACCAGAATATCTGTTTGTTCCAAGCTTTGCTACCACTGTCTGTATAACTCTGAACAAGTTGCCTTCCCTCCCCACCTCAGTTTTCCCAGCTTTGAAGTGGGCTTATTTGTAGTCACTGCCTTCTAGGGAGAACGGTTTTGTTCATCCATTGAGTGATCATGCTGTATTTCCATAAAGCCTTGGGCAGACTGTGTGGTATTCCTCTTATGTGGGAGATGAGGCGTCTTCAAAAAGAAATGAGAGGAGGAAGCAAGAGATGTGAACAATTGCTCAGCATGTGAGATTAGTTTTGAATGAAGCATTTTCTTCCGCTTTTTTCTACTTGCCCTCACAATTTCTTCTTGTTTGTAGAGGTGCTGTTATCCAAATATTTGAAATTTTCTGTGATAAAAACATGTTTTATGTCTAGCATATGGAATCAAAAGGATAATGTGTCATTGTGTGTCAGTTGAGTTGGAGGCCTGCTTGCTCCTGTATTTGTATTACCTCTTTATTTAATTTTAATATAGTCCCAACTTACCTGTGCTAAAACTGAATTTATTATGTACTTTGAAAGTAATCAGAAAGTTCTTCTGTGTTTGTTAATAAAGTTAACTCCATGTGGTGAGCAGGGTGTGTTGGCATTTCCTGAAGGTTGCACCTGTTTGGAGTTAGAAGCAAATCCTATTCTTGCTGTAACAGAGTTGGTGTGACTTCCGTTTTAGCTACCGGATGATGACCATGATCTCTCAGATCGAGAGCTAGATCTCGAAGACTCCACGGCTCTTTCAGACCTACGCTGGCAGGACCCCTCTGCAGATGGCATGCCCTCCCCACAGCCTTCCTCCAACCCCTCCCTCTCCCTCCCTCAGCCCCTCCGGAGTGAGCGGTCAGGGCGAGACACCCCAGCCAGCGTGGACTCCATCCCCCTGGAATGGGACCATGATTATGATCTCAGCCGGGACCTGGAGTCGGCATCTCGAACTCTGCCCTCAGAAGATGAAGAGGGCGAGGAAGACAAGGAGTTCTACCTCAGGGGAGCTGTTGGCTTGTCAGGTAAGAGAGAAGAATTCCTCTTGGGAATCCATGTGTGGAACACATTAGTTACTGGATTCATATTCCCTGAAAAGGTTAGGCAAAATACATATACATGGTCATTTAGGAATCATAGGGTGCCTGTGCCAGGGCTGGGCAGAGACTTCTGAGTGAGACTAGAGGGACAATGATGATTCTGTGAGGTAAACATAGCAGTGTGCAGAGGAAGGAGGCCCTGCAAGGTTTGTGATTAGCCTTGGGACTTGGGGTCATCTGAAGTCTGTTAAAAAGAGTGTGTCGGATAGCATAATGTGGGCACAGTGGATGCTGGTGAGCAAAGGCTGTGACCAGTTCGCTGTGCAGAGGAGTTTGGCACAGTGGATGCTGGTGAGCAAAGGCCGTGACCAGTTCACTGTGCAGAGGAGTTTGGCCATTACCCTGAAGCTCTGTGGCCAAATGTGTACTTTATCATGTGTGGACTCCATGGGTGGACACAGATGGGAAGCCAGAGAGCTTAGATGTATGTCATCAATGAGCACAGTTAATGGTGATGCTCTATGAACCCGAATTAAGAAAAGGTGCCAAGAGGGAGTGATAGATCACAAGAAATGAATCTTCCCTTACTCGGTGATTGAATAGAGGTGGGGGTGAGTCTGGATTAGGCCTCTAAGTGGAAGATGAGAAAAACAAGAAAGAGAAAGCGTGTTGTGCCTGCATGTGGGGCGAGTTGTGAGATAGTGGGCGTAGACACACTGTTTAGAGGACTTTCAGCCCCGACAGTTTAGAAATAAACACCTGGGCCTAGATGTGTATCTGAAGGTGAACATTAGGCAGGACTTCTCCGTGTAACTAGGAATTCTCCGAGTGCATGGGAGGAATCGTGAAGCTAAAGCACGCGGGAAAAAACAGGGAGAAGAACAACGATAACAACAAAACAGCGTCACACGTAGGGAGGGGAGACTGAGGAGAGAAGCCCTTGCAGCAGGTGAACGAAAGCAATAACTAGTTAGAGAGCAGTGCAGCCCATGCTGTGTGTCATATGGCCCTCAGCCACGTACAAGCCACGTACAAGCCACGTACGTACTGCTGGAAAGCCCTGCAACACAACTGCCATAACTGAGGTTGACTCTGGACAGAAAGTGCATTTATATGCATGGACCCATTTTCAAGACTTAGTGCAAAGGATAAGCATGAACCATTAGTGCCATTTATATTGATTACACTCCACGTTTTAGCATTAAACCAAACCACTTTTTTTATTACTGTTCTAATGTGGCTATCAAGTCCTTACATTTTAATATATGTCTCACATACACATATGAGAAGTAGTGTTCTTTTAAAAGCTAAGTACACAGAAATTCCTGTTCTAGTCCAGGCACGGTACCAATCATCTGTAACCCTAGCAGTCAAGAAGTGGAGACAGGAAAATCAAGAGGTCAGAGAAACCTACTCTGCTAAGACTGTATTAGTTACTTTTCTGCTGCTATGCTAAAACACCATAACCAAAAGAAGCGCAAGGAAAGCGAGCATTTGGGCTAATGTTTCCAGAGGAATGGATTCCATCGTGGCAGGCAACGCATGACATGGGAACAGGAGTAAGAAAATGGCTGCTTACATTGTCATTCCTACACAGGAAGCAGAGCCTGAGAAGAGGAAGTGCGATAGGATCTAGTCTCGTCAAAGCCCACCCCCAGTGATATACTTCCTCTAAGAAGGCTCCACCTCCTAAAGGCTGCACAGCTCCTTCTAAAGCACTGTGAGCTGGTGACCAAGTGTTTAGATGCATAGCCCTGGGAGGAGTGGTTCTCATTCAAACCACCACAGCTCTCCAGTCAGCTGGAGACTTGACGGGATGGCTGTGCTGTGTGAGACCTTCCCTCAAAGCAGACCTGCCAACAAAGGGAAGCCCTCTCCTGCCACTTAGTGTCTTCTAGGTCTGCAGGGACGACACTCCTCTGGACACTTGTTTTCTCATCTATAAAATAGAAATAATACTACCAGGGATTCTTAGGGTTCCTGTGAGGACAAGAGTACTTTAAACAGCAGCTGGCTTAGAAAACACGCCGTCAATGTGAATTCTTAGCAGGATTCATTACAGGAAGCCTTTGGCGAGCATGCATGCTTTCCCCTTTGTGCCAGCGGCTGTCAAGAGCAACTAATTTCTTTTTTCCTTAGGCAAACTTCTTTCCCACCACAAGGGAAGTGAGGTGTCCAGCAGTTAGCTGTCAACTTAGACTGTGCTCTTTTTGCAGACGTAGTGATCCCCGAGAACCCTGAGGCCTATGTAAAGCTCACAGAAAATGCAATCAGAAATACTTCTGGTAGGCATGAAGAAGGGGAGCCTCCCACACCCGCCATCTTACCACAAACCCCCTTTCTCAGCTCAGCTTCCCTGCCTCTCACAGCTTTGGGGCTCTGGCATGCCAAGACACAGCCTTCCTTTCTTCCCCTTGTATTAGGAAAAAAAAAAAAAAAAGCTGCTGGTTGACTGACACCAAGAATATGATCTCCATAAGCAGGTCATGAAATAGCTCCTCAGCCTGTCAAGTGGTAATCAGTGTCATTACCAAGAGAACTCGGTGCCTGGTGACAGTCAAAAGTATAGGAGGCAAAGCCCTTGCCCGGCCTGTGTGCGCCCGTCTCCCCCTTGGTGGAAGCTTTGTAGTGCTGTGACCTCCCACCGGCTGGGCAAAGGCTGTTTGACACACCCTCTGAGAGAGTGTGCAGAGATTGTAGCTGATAGAACATTTTCTTTTAATTTCAAAAGTACTATGTCCTCCAATGAGAGCTGTTCTCCATAAGAGTGTAATCCTTAGATTACCATTTAATAAAACTATTTCTGAAACGAGAAGAGTTAAATAGAGAAACCAGTATTGCTCAAGATTTCACCAGATCCCTCCCATATGTAAGCACACGGAAGGTCCAGGTCAGTGTTTGGGGTGTGTGGCAAACCCTTGATTTGTTTCTGAGTCAAAGTCTGGTTTATACCAGTCTGAAGTTTCTGAAGACCAGTACAAGGACAAAACTCAATCTAGTATTACAGTGACCTTCTCGATGATTTCCAGCTAGCGGTGTCTCCCAGGTAGCTTAGAAATACATTTGCTAAATCTTAGTTTATTTATTTTATTTTATTTAGTTTATTTATTTATTTTCACCCAGTCCTTGTGCCACACAGACAATCGATGTTCCTGGTCCAAAATGAGTGTGATACACACGCATATACATACCCACAAGCACACGCCCACAGGCACACTCCAGTTCAAAGCTCTTAAGAGAAGGTGAGCGGGCACCTAGTCAGCAAGGAAGAGCGTGCCTAACGAAGAGGCAGAATCCAGGTCTTGCTTCAGATAGCCTGTAGAAAGGGAAGTGTTCCTCTACGCATGTCTATTCTTAGCTAGACATGATTTTCCTGGTTAACCTGAGACCGTGCTTCAGTGAACCAAGCAACCAGGGATTTCAGTGGTGCTGCTGTCTCTGAGACAGAGACAAACCCGAGGTGAAGCCTTTCCTGCTCGCTGAGGGGACGTGGGACACACTTGGCTTTTGGTGCCTCTGCAGATTTTCGGGGAAGCCTTTCACTGCGTGTAACCCTCTGACCACCATGGGGCTGGCTGGAGGAGGCAGCAGGCCCCAGCGGGCTGTTCTGGACCTGCTGCAGGAGCTCTGCCAAGCCCAGGCCGCTGAGTCTCTTTAGGAAGCACACTTACTGGCTTGGCCTTTTAAATGTCTAACCCTCTAGCAGGATAGCACTAAATCTGCTTTACAATTCCCAACCCTCACCCCACCCCAACCCCAAAACACACTCTTTCTGCTTCGCCACAGCTGAAATGCTCTCTGAAGCTCTTGACTGACGAGCTTAAATAAGTCAAGTGCTGTGATCCAGTAAAGACTCTTCTGGTTGACACCACAGGGGATCCCAGCTCTCTGGAGCCACAAATGAGGCAACTGGACAGATCCCTGGGTGACAGCCACTTCCAGATTCAGCAAACTACAGATATCCTCAGAAGCAAAACTCCCACAGGGCCAGACCTGGACACCAGCTACAAGGGCTATGTGAGTATTCTAGCCAGCAGGCTCCTGACCTGGACCTGGATGACAGCACTGACCCAAAGCAGCCGGTCTGTCTGCAGCTCATGGGCTCTGTGAGGCGCTCGGTGCAGAAGTACCTTGAGCTCGTAGACCGGGAGATGTGAAACAAACCCCATTGTCTGGAGTTAGTTTGAAAAGAACTCCACTGTTTGCAGGCCCTGGAGCCCCTTGCAGGCCCTGGAGCCCCTTGTCACCACCAGCCTGTTCCCTTGTGCTGAGTACTTTCTGCGATCATTCAGCTGAAGACAACAAAATGCTTTCAGTTCCAAATATCACTAGGTGCCTGTCCAAATTCAGCTAATAAATTTTGGACCAAGGTTATCCCCGGATTACTAACATGGTATTTTTCTGTTGTCATTCTTTTAGTTCTTTTTAATTCACTTAATGGCCTTGGGGATGTTTGCAATCTTCTGCTTTTTATCTGGGGAGATTTTGCAATGGGAGAGCTGAACCTTGCACACAGCAGGCTGGTGTTGTGCTGCTGAGCTGCACCCCAGCCCCACCTTCTGCTCTGGGAGCGCTGAATCTGAAGCAAGCCATCCTAACTAAAAGCAAGCTTCAGGAGAAGGGAGCAAAGGGACTGTATCTCTACCCGTTCTGTATTTTCAGTTGCTAGTGTATCCAGTAAAATCAATTCATTCTAGTCACTGACCAAGTAGTATTTTTTTTTTTCAGCAACATACCTTCAAGCAAGAGAATTTTAAAGTAACTCTCTCCCTGAGCACTTTGTGGTCAAAAGGAATAGAAAGCTAATTCTTACTGGTTTCAGCACATCTTACATGTTCTACATTTTGGAACGAGGGAGAGAGCTATTGTATCTGCACAAGCTGTTACCGGTACCCCAGGTCACTTCTCTGTCATGAAATTTCTTTTTAAATACAATTTGATTGCAATACAAGGGCTGGCGAGGCAGCTCAGTGGTAAAGTGTTTGCCTAGCATGCTCAAGGACCTGGGTTCAATCTCCAGCACTGTGTTAGATAAAAATCAAGTGCAGCATAGCTTTGTGATGACCATGTTGACATCACTGAGGTGACACTTAACCTCAATCAAAAGTAACAAAAAGTAACTGAAAGACACCGTCCTTGTGAGAAACACGGAGAGGTAAGATTACACTCTACTGACAAGTATGTGCTGAGAACTTTGTTGTTTCCTTCTTACTTTGCGTTATTTTGTTTTCCTTTACTTTGAGGCAGATTCTTGTCATGTAGCCAGGCTGATCTCCAGCTCATGATCTTTCTCTCTCTGCCCACCGAATGCTAGGGTCACACTCACACAGCGCCTAGCCATAATTTCCTGTTTTAGAACTTGAATACTGTATGTGACGTTACAGTGTTTTGAGTTTTGAACCTAGTCCCACGATGGCCATTAAACATGGCTGTAAATTTTCTCATAAAACAGCTGGCTTTCATCTTGCTCTGAAGTCTTAAGTATTTCAGTTATTTAATGTAAAAGTTGTTCCCATGAGATTTGTGGTACTACTAGTGTTTCCACATTCGGTTTAGGAAAGAGAAAGAAGAGACAATTAGATATTGTCTTTTCAGCTAAGGACTGTAGCCTTTAAATTGCAGATCAGTTTGAACTGTGTAGATTCGTATGAAACATTGGTTCTCAACCTTCCTAACGCGGCAGCCCTTAATACAGTTCTCATGGTACTGTGACCCTACCCCACCACGAAATTATTTTCATTGCTACTTCATTTTGTAATTTGGATACCATTATGAATTGGAATGTAACTATTTGCATTTTCCAATGATCACAGGGGACCTCTGTGAAAGGGTCGGTTGACTGTAAGGGGTCTTGACCCCCAGGTTAAGAACCACTGTTAAAAGACATTTCAAGGCTTTCACATGCCTATTATGCAGGCAGAGTTTGTCTTTAAAGTTTCTCATGAGCTGGTGTTTGTGTGTGTGTGTGTGTGCGCGCGCGTGCGTGCGTGCTATGTTGAAACAGCATAGCCATTTATTTTTGCTGGAAAAACACTGATTAGGAGAATACGGCCACTGTTCTGTTGAGGGACCACAAAGATGCTTTCCCCAAAGCACTGTGTCCTCCTGAGGACTGAGGTGGCAGGACTGAGTCTGTGTGTGTCTAAACAGATGAAGCTGCTGGGCGAATGCAGCGGCAGCATAGACTCCGTGAGGAGACTGGAACACAAGCTTGCGGAGGAAGAGAGCTTCCCTGGCTTCGTTAACCTCAACAGCACCGAGGCCCAGACAGCTGGTGAGTGAGTCTCCCCCTATTGCAGAGACCCACCGGCTGCTTAGCCTCCCTCTACAGCATTTTATCCCACAACAGAGGAAGGTGATGGAGAGCGTCACAGTGTGTCTTCTGCTCCATTTATTCCAATGCCCTGTGTGTGCTGCATCGTCAGGTTCTTGTAGACGTTTTCAGAGTACTACTGCAGAAAGAAGTCAAGGATGGATTAATCACGTCACACACTGTGCGTTCCCTCATAACGCTCACCCTGGTGTCAAATCCTGTGTAGCAAGTGTGCTATACACCATTGTCCTTAGGGAAACAGACTGGAAGCCAGAGCCACCACACCCATTTAACCGTTACCACAGAGTATAGCAGAGGTGACCAGTGACATTGCCCTTTCTGTCGCCCTTAAAGCCGGCTGCCGCATGTAGCTGCAGTAGCTCCTACGCCTCATGGGGGCAGAACTCCTGCTCACTGTCCTCTGTGTGCCCTGCCAGGTGTGATTGACCGCTGGGAGCTCCTACAGGCCCAGGCGCTGAGCAAGGAGTTGAGGACAAAGCAGAACCTTCAGAAGTGGCAGCAGTTTAACTCAGACCTCAGCAGCATCCAGGCCTGGCTAGGGGAGACGGAGGAGGAGCTGGACAGACTCCAGCACCTGGCACTCAGCACTGACCTCCACACCATCGACGGCCACATCAAAAAGCTCAAGGTACCTGTCCTTGCCCTCCTGCCACCGGCGGCCAGATGCAGCAGCTAACACATTTCTGCCTCTCTGTGTCTGTCTCTCTGCCTCTGTCTGTCTCTGTCTCTCCGTATGTGTGTGTAGACATGTTTATGTAATCACATAAGTACATATATTTGCACATGCTTATAGAGACCAGAGGACATTCTCACTTCTGTATTCATCATTTTGGTTGTTGAGATTTTTGTTTGCTTGCCTTTTTTGAGGCAGGGTCTTTCATCAGCTAGAATGTATCAGTTGGCTCCGATGGCTAGCCAATGAGCTTCAGGGATCTTCCTGCCTCTGCCTCTGGGTCACAAGGACTCTTTTCCATGTATTGTAGGGATCAAGCTCAGATCCCCACACTTGCACAGTGAACCGTTTACCGGCAGTGCCATCTCCCCACTCATAACTTGTCTCTAGCTCTTCAGTTCCTCGGGGCAGCAGCCAGAAAGTATCTGGGTTAGTCTTCTGAGCAGTGTGACAGAAAGCCTGATGGAAACAACCCTATAAGAGGCATATTCTAAGGATTCAGTTGGTGGTCTGTTGGTATAATGTTCTTTTGAAATATATACACCTTACCTTTGTTCATTCAAATGCTGATTTCTCTCCCCCACTCTCTGGTTTCAATCCAGATATTACATTGTGATACTTACTCTAAGCATCACCTGTCTCAACTTTGTGTAAACATGCCAAAATAAAGCAACTAGCCTCAATGTTGAGCAATAAAAAGGAAGAAGGAAGAGAGGGAGGAGCCAGAGGACAGGAAGGTGGGCGGCAGAGGAGGAGGGGAGAGGGGCAGAGGAGAGGCTGGAAGAACTGAGGCTGGAGCAGAGATCTTGGATCGAGGTGGAGAGATGGACTGGACCTAATATATCACTAAAAGCAAGTATAATGTGGGAAATCTAAAAGTTAGGAAACTATGAGGACTTGGAGGTTTAGGATGGAGTAACTGTTGCCCAGCATTGTGTTCTAGGTTAATTAAATAAATCCCAGTGTCTGTGTGGTGATTTGGTTATACAGTTGTTTAGGATTAACAGCAGCTTTACTAAAAGGTAGATCAATAGTAAATATTAATCATCACTTACAGTAGTGGTCGCTTAGCTTGGCCTCATGCATGTGGGCAGAACATCAGGCTGGTGGACATATGTGGAGAAGGGTGCCGCCCACCTCATAGTGTGCGGGAAACAGGGCAAGAAGAAATAGCTGGGGACCACATACAGCCTTTGATGGAGACAACTTTCTCCTCTATTTCTACTCCTTAGGCCCTAGGTATCAAATCTCTAGAGCTTCCTAAAGTAGCACCCCCAACTTGGGTTCAAGCGTTGAACACATGACACTTGTTGTGACATTTTACATTCAGATAATGTCTAACAAGAACGAACAGGAAGCTCTTCTTTCCCCAGCTGTCTCAAACCTAAGCTGTTCATAAAGCTGGTTATAAAAAGCCAAGAGAAGGACCGTGTTAACCATGATATACAGCAGTCTACCAGGGAAACCACCACTTACAGCTTAATAAATTAGTATTTTAAGAACTGACCAGGTGGGTTCAGTTAAGGAACTGAGACCTCAATAATCTATTTGGTTTCTTCATAAGAGAAATACAGATCTGATCAGAGCCTTGCACATCTCTGTGTAGAGATGGAGTGAAATCATTCCCCAAATCACTTTAGTGTGAGGCTGAGGGAGATCTGATAAAATCATTTGACATTCTCTAGACAGCAAAAGTTACTAAATTGACTACGGCAATGTCAAGAGCGTTGAGTAGAAATGAGTAAAACAAAACAAATCCACTGAGATTTTGTGGTGAAACAGTTGCCCCTGGCATCTGCTTTGGGCCTGGCCGGTGAGTGTACAGATATTGGCCTTTAATTACAGGTCGGGTTCTTCGACATCCCCCTCACCCAGTGGCACTCACTCTAGGACCCTCGAGAGCCCCCTGCAGACCTGGGCTGCATTTATCTTCAGTAGCTCTGTAGGCCCTGTGATTTTTGTCTAGAGACCATCAAAAACATGTTTTCTTCAGAATGAAGCCTCCTGGAATAAGCATGTGTCTTTTGTGTTCCTGTGGTCTTTAGTGTATGCTGTTCATTTTGTAATGATGCTATTGTGGCTTTTCTTTTTGGCAATCAGGTTGCTTTCCTTTGAACCTTCAGGCACAGAAATGAATCTTCCTGCACACATATCTCCATAGTAGCATCCGAGGGGAAGCTCTTTGAGCTAGCCCTGTGAACTCCAGGGCAGATGAGAGATGCGATTTACAGGGGCTGCACAATGCAATGCATTTTTCTTACAGTTTGTAAAGCACTCTGTCTAGGTAGCATTGCATTATAAACAGGCTCCTTAAAAAAGACAACATGTATTGTTGACCAAAATCTGAGACTTCATGTGAAATGAGGCAAGAAAGATCTTGGATGTCATCCTGTGTGGCAAGCAGAAGCCCCTGCCCCAAACCATTTTCCTAACTTCTGTCAATAGCTCTATGTTCCCTGTCAACAGATTCATGGGGTAACTAAGGACTTTTCATAGCATCTCTTGATTTATGCTGTCTTTGTGGTGGCATCAGGAAATCATGTTGAGAACCTATTTTTTTTAATCTAAAATTTAAAAAAATTAAGTGGAGTTAGGAACATGACAGAAATAATGAGAAGTTGTAAGAAAATGTATATTTCATAGTGTGATCTCCAGAACCGCTCACTCAGGATGGATCTTTGGGTGTTTACCTGCACACAGAGTCTAAACCTACTACAGAATTAAGAATTCAAGTTCTTGGTTCTAAGTTCTAAACTGACTATTGTTGCCTTGGGATTTTGTTTGTTTGCTTATTGTTGTCTTGTTTGTTTTTCTGGAATCAAATTAAATTGATTAGATCATGAAGTACACAATCAGTTTTCTTTACCATCACAACAGTGTGGCTGATGGCACAGTCAGTATTGTCTCGTAGGCCAGTGTGCCTGTATTTCAGGTCACTGGAGGCCAGAATACTAGAACCTAAAGAGCTTTTCATCTTATTTCTCACAGAGAAGTTTGAGTGCCATTGGTTTGGTGAAATGAAACTATTACATTTGCAAAAACTAAAAAGCACTGTCCTCCTTCTTCACACTGTGGCTGTGTCTGTTCTGTCTGGCTGTGGTTGGCCATTCAGTTACTCAGACTCCTCCATTCATTGCGTTGGACACCACACTTCTCTGTGGGGCTCTTCTTCCCTTGGGAACCTGGCAGACACCCTGAAAATATAACAGTCTGCCACATTTTCATGTGAACTCGTGAAACGTGTGTGCGTGCAGCTGCACGCGTGTACATGTGCACGCGAAGGGCACGAGACATCCCTGAGTGCTATCTGATAATGCGCTCCACCTTCTCCCTGTGACACAGTCCCTCACCGGCCTACAGGTCAACAGGCGGGCTACGCTGGCGGGGTACGCAAGCTCCAGCAGTCTTCATGTCTCTACCCGCGCCTCTGGGCTTACAAGCATGCACCACCACACCAGCCTCTTTTATTTGGGGATTGGACTCAAGTTCTGCCTTTAACAACAGAGCTTTCTCTCCAGCCTTGAGTAAAACATGTTCAAGGGTCTTAAAAGTGCTTTTTAAAAAATGTTTCCTTCATAACTCTTGCCTGATTGTTCTCTTCAGGAGCTCCAGAAAGCTGTGGACCACCGCAAAGCCATCATCCTCTCCATCAACCTCTGCAGCTCTGAGTTCACCCAGGCTGACAGCAAGGAGAGCCGAGACTTGCAGGACCGCTTAACCCAGATGAACGGGAGATGGGACCGCGTGTGCTCACTGCTGGAAGACTGGCGGGGCCTGCTGCAGGACGCGCTGATGCAGTGCCAGGTGGGTCGGGCCGTGGGCAGAGGGTGGCACCAGGCTGGACACTGACGTTAGGGTTGCTTGGAGGAGGTGGCTGCTCTTCGAAGCCAGCCTGTGGATGAGGTAGCTTTTCTTATGATGGGATCTATACCTATGATGTGTGTTCAAGGAGTTTTGTCCAGTCTTCTGTCTAGATTAGAAGCCAGTGCTCATCACAATGACCAACTCGTTTGTTTCATGTATTCACTCAAAACGTTTTTCCCAAACATTTAGGCAGATAAGTTTTGCACAACAAAACAAGCATTATAGATGTTTATTTATCCACTTAAGCTGGCATTTGCTGGGTTTCTTCTGTATGCCAGGTAAGGCCCTAAGCAGTTAAGATATGGCCTAACCTCCGCTTCCATTAACAAGACAATAGCAACAAAATCTGAGGAGAAACTGGCAAGATGGCTCAGTGGGTAAGGGCAGCTGCCAACCTGGAATTCATGTGATGTAAGGAAAGAACTGATACCTGAAAGTTGTTCTTTGTCCTCTACATTTGTGTTATGGCATACACACACAATATAATAAAAGTTTAAGGTAAGGAAATAGTTATCCAAGAAATTTATAAACACCGCTGTGACAGTAATGGAGAAAAGCCATTACAGGAGGGAGGTCAAGGATCCTGTGGACATTTGGCTGATGCTGGGAGGATGTTGTTATAAGGGAGTTCAGCAGATGGGAGGTTCTTGAAGTATGTACAGGTATTGTCTCTTTATGAGCCGGCAAGAAGGCAGTTTAGCCAGTTTATAGCCAGCAAGGCAGGAAGTGACCAGAAGGTCAAGGCCCAGGTCATACAGAACATCGAGGCTCTGCCAGTCCTTGGACTGCATGCAGTGCCATAGGGCAGGAGTAGAAGCTTCCTGCGAAGTGGCTTTCCCTGCTACTGCTGCCCCTCACCACCTCCCACCCCCTGCTGTGTCTGGCTGCAGACTGTACCCTGTATGCAGGAGCTCATCAATAACAATGCCAAGTAAGGATGTAAGAAGATGAAGAAAGGAACACAGGATTGAGCCTGTGCCTTAAAAAATGAAAAGATTTGAGCATGTGGATGAGAGCTGCTTCTTTTCAGATTATCTGTCAGCACTGCTGTTTTCTGTTTTATTTTGTTTTGTTTTATTGTCAGTGTGCTTTCCTTGTAAATATTCCCACCAGGATAAGTTAGATGCTTTAGATAAACAGCGGAACTTACTCTGTGTTGGTTGCAACAGTGCTATTGAACTCCAGCCATAGCAGCTGTACTTCCTGTAGCAGGTGGGGCCTTCCTCAGAGGGGCCATGTACTGCTGCTCATGGTGCTGTATGTTTACTGGTGATAGCCAGAGAAAAGAACTGAAGCCAGGTAATAACACACACCTTTAATCTCAGCACTTGGGAAGTACAAGCAGATCTCTGTGAGCTTAGGGCCAGGTTGGTCTACAAAGCAAGTTTCAGGACAGCCAGGACTGTCATGCTATTACACAGAGAAACCCTGTCTTGAAAAAGAAAAAAAGGATGAAAGAAAAAAAGAAAGGAAAGAAAAATTGAAAAATAGTGTAGAAAATTATTTTCTAGCTGCAGTTATTTTATTTCATACTCTACATTTTTGTTTTGTTTTGTTTTGTTTTGTTTTGTTTTGATAGGAGTTCCACGAAATGAGCCATGCTCTGCTTCTCATGCTAGAAAACATTGACAGAAGGAAAAATGAAATCATCCCAGTTGATTCCACCCTTGACTCAGAGATACTTCAGGACCATCACAAACAACTCATGGTGAGAATATATATATTCTACCGTAAAAAAAAAAAAACAACTTTGGATAGATGTACAATTTCTGTATCCATTCCTCAACTGAGGGACATCCGGGTTGTTTCCAGGTTCTGGCTATTACAAATAAAGCTGCTACAAACATGGCTGAACAAATGCTTTTGTTGTATACTTGAGCATCTTTTGGATATATGCCTAGGAGTGGTATAGCTGGATCTTCAGGAAGCTCTATTCCTAGTTGTCTGAGAAAGTGCAGATTGATTTCCAAAGTGGTTGTACAATCCAGATGTCCCTCTACTGAGGAATGGATACAGAAATTGTGGTACATCTACACAATAGAATATTACTCAGCAATAAAAAACAAGGAAACCATGAAATTTGCAGGCAAATGGTGGGAATTGGAAAAGATCATCCTGAGTGAGGTATCCCAGAAGCAGAAAGACACACAGGGTATATACTCACTCATAATTGGCTATTAGACATTTAATATAGGATAAACCTACTAAATTCTGTACACCTAAAGAAACTAATCAAGAAGGAGCACTCTGGCTAAGATGTTCAATCCCCATTCAGAAAGGCAAAGAGGATGGACATCAGAAGAGGGAGAAAACAGGGAACAGGACAGGAGCCTACCACAGAGGGCCTCTGAAAGATTCTATCCTGCAGGGTATCAAGGCAGATGCTGAGACTGGTAGCCAAACTTTGGGCAGAGTGCAGGGAATCTTATGAAAGAAGGGGGAGATAGTAAGACCTGGAGAGGACAGGAGCTCCACAAGGAGAGCAACAGAACCAAACAATCTGGGCACAAGTATCTTTTCTGAGACTGATACTCCAACCAAAGACCATTCATGGAGATAGCCAGAGACTCATGTCCCATTTGACTTTACAGTCTGTCAGATTGACAGTTGACAGTAATCACCACAGTGTAATTTGACTTTACAGTCTGTCAGATTGACAGTTGACAGTAATCACCACAGTGTAATTAGTGGCTTATTGTAAAACTGAAATGAAAGCTACTTAAATGGAGAGAGCATTTAGGTTGACCCAAGAGGGAGTACATATGCCAGGTGAGCGAGCACAAACCTTGGTGGCAAGTTTGCAGAAAGCCATGAGATAACTTCCTGTCGTCATCGTCTGATAAGACCAAAATATATCTCTTTCTTCAAAGCTAGAAGCTTTTTCTGGTACTAAATTCAACCAGAAATTTACTGTGCAAATCTATATACAAGGATTTGAGATAATATGGTGGAGAGCGTGGCAGTGATGATAAAAAAGCAGGCTTTAGTTCCACCAGGAGAATGTGCTTGGCATCTTGTGTGTCCGAGCTGTCTTCAAATTTTATGTCATAGCATGAAAAACTTACAACCTAGACTACTGAGGTGGAGATTTTAATTCACTTAGAAGGATCTCTGAAAACCAATAGGAGATAGTGGTCCTCCTGTCTTCTTACTCACCTTGACCTCTGGGCAGGGACCTTTGAATGATCAGTCATTGCAGGTAATTTAAGAAGATTTAGCTAGAGTGTGCCTGGACAGATTTGAGTTTTGCTGTACCTACATTTTAATGTTTTATGTTTCTGTTTAACAGGTTATCTTAGATTCCATTTCCATGAGATTTTCTTTTGTTAATATCTTCACATTTCTTATTCAGTTCAAATGTTCCCATTGCTCTTACTATAAAACATGTGTCCAGTGAGTACCCTGAGCTTAGAGTGATTTAAAGGTCTTTCAGAACACATTTGGCAAGGTTAGCATGGAGTCCCCATGTCACATGTCCTGTTTGGAGGCCATATGCCACAGTGTGTGTAGGGGGGTCAGATATGATGGCTCACTCAGGCAACTTTCTCTACCAAAATCTCTTAAAGAAATCTCTCCTTCTCTGTCCACAGCAAATAAAGCAGGAGCTGCTGAAGTCCCAGCTCAGAGTGGCTGCACTCCAGGACATGTCTCGCCAACTCTTGGTGAATGCTGAGGGCGCAGATTGTCTAGAAGCCAAAGAAAAAGTCCACGTGATTGGAAACCGGCTGAAACTTCTCTTGAAGGAGGTCAGCCATCACATCAAGGGTCTGGAGAAGTTGCTGGACGTGTCGAGCAGTCAGCAGGTAAGCCCTCTCAGACCGCACAGCACCGCTTCTCCCGCAGAGCCTGAAGCACTGGATCTCCACCTGGTGTAGAACGACCCAGATGTAGCACTTGTCAGACCCGGAGAGGCCGCCTCCTCCCCGCCCCCACCGCTGCTCTGTCAAGAGCTGTCTCAGAATACAAAGGCAGACTCGGAAAACTTTTGTAACACGGTGCTTTTGATTCTGTGAAATCCAAAAGACCGCTTTAGCCTGCTGCTGTCAACCCTGCTGCTGTGGCTACTGTAGCATCTTATTCCAACTGCTTTTTTAGGAAGTGGCATGTTTTCAGTTATACAGCTGGGAAGGACCCACACAGTCACTGCCTGTGAGGTTGGCGTTAAACATTCAGGAGAGCATGAACTCTGTCCTTTTGAATCTGTTCACTCATTCTTTCATTCACTCATTCATTCATTTGTTGAAATGTTCCTTTCGAATGTTTATTTTTGCCCATTTTTTTTTTCTCTAAGATCAACTCTATCATGGTTGTACTGTCAGTTTGGGGACATGTGCCTGTAGATACAGAGGTGCCTGGTAAGGTTGTGAAGCCTTTTCACCAACACAGAACTGCTCATTTCTCCAGAGCAATTCAAAGCATGACCTCCCCTGAGACCCAGCAGAGAAGCAATGCAGTTTCCCTGACCTTTAAGGAGCACACTCCCACATAGCTGTCAAACGTAAATGAATTGGATTCTGTCAGTCTGTCCGTCCTGAGTGTCCTGAACTTGTAAAGAAGACTTTCACCCCCCCCCCCAAGCCAGTATCATTTCACTTGTGCCCATGTCACTAAGGGATAGCAAAGCCACAAAAATAAAACACAGTAATGCTTCCCAGAAGGACCAAGCTTAGGCCAAGAAATCCCAATAAACTAGGAGAATTAGGTTTCATCTGAACCAGGTCTGACTGGGGATAGTTTGATCTTCATGACGAAGAGATAAAGGTGCAGAGCGCTGAGGTGGGAAACGCTCAGTGTAAACTGAGCCCCTACGTGCTTTGGGACTTGTAGTTGTGGATGCATCCTTTTCTCTTGCAGGACTTGTCCTCATGGTCTTCTGCAGATGAGCTGGACACCTCAGGATCCGTGAGTCCTACATCAGGAAGAAGTTCCCCAAACAGACAGAAATCGGTAACTATCTGCTCGCCCTTTCCAACTGGTCCATGGTGGGAACTCTGAGATACGACACCTTTTGTGTCTATGGGGTCCACAGGCTTAGGACAGGAATCCCCACATAGGACAGGGCATTCACCCATATTAACTTATGTCTCAGCCTACAAGCATGTTCTCAGCAATTTAAAAATAAAGTGGTTTTTTTTTTCTTCTGTTTTTCCCCCTTTCCTTTTAATGAGTTCAAAGTATCACTACTATGTAGGAAGAATTTTTTTTTTTTCTTGCTCAAATGGCCATTTCTAGAAATGGCACTCATGAGTACCCTTTCTTCACATTCCCACCGGTGTGTCCACTAAAAACGCTGGTTGTGGTTGTCGTGCCCAGAAGGTGCCTCACAGCAGGGGCCACTTGTGAGCGTCCTGTGAGTCCACTGGAATGATAAAGGCAAATGAAGTTGCTTTGACTCTCAATCGAAAGGGCTTCTGAGTGATGATGACCAAGGGCTTCTGGGTGCTAACCCTGAAAGCACAACTCCTCAAGCCAACCCCACATATGGCCTGTGGTGGGAAGTGCCTCACCAGAGCACATAGAGAATGAAAGGCGAGGTTGGCCCCTCCACCCTCTGTACCTCAATTCTCTGTGTATTAGGAGCTTGTTTTTATTTTTTGTTTGATTTTTTTTCCTTGTCTGGCTTTATAAGTATATTCATTCCATTTTCCCTTAGATTTTAGAAGTAATAACCTCATTTGTATTTTTGTCATATATACTTATGTTCTATGCTGATACATGTGTTATCCTTATTAGAATTTTGTTTTGTTTTTTGTTTTACCAACATTCACTAGTTTCCTGTAGATCCTAGTTTAAGAATGTGAAGGAATACTGGCTTTTCAATTCACATTTTAGCCTTGATCTTTCTTGAGTGTGTTGGGCTTCGTGTTCATTTACTATTAAAATTCTTACTATAGGCTCTGTGCCCTCAAAGTTGCCAAAAATACAAGCCCATGTGAATTATCTCTGAAGTATGCAGAATGATAAAGTAGAGTTTACGTTTAGATCACCAAATGCACAGAGACTCTTACACAATATAGATGGTCTGTGCTTTTGCCAGGAGGAGTGGGGGGCCTGTGCCCACTGTGGGTGCAAGCCACAATAGAAGCTCAGGCTAAATCAATGGCTGATGCTGTAACTATGAGTCCACCCCACTCCTCCCACCGAAGAAAAGCCAGTTTCCTTAGTCCACAGGTACTGGTCATTGCATTTGATTTGTTTGCCCTTGGCTGCACTCTCAGTTGTTTTCATTGGTTAGCTTGTCTTTATTTGCCTGGACTGAACATTCTTCTTTCTTTACCCCCTGTTCATTGCAAACAGCCACGAGGCAAATGTAGTCTCTCACAGCCTGGACCCTCTGTCAGCAGCCCAAAGAGCAGGTACCTTGTTCTCCTGGTTTCCACCTGTTCTAGAACCCCGAGAGGATGATAAAAATTGCCCATGATTTGGGGAAACCTCTAATCTGGTATGCTTCAGGGTAGCGGACATATCTCCCCCTTTCCTAGTAAATAGGAAGAGCAGTCTCTCCAGAGGTGAATCTCAGAGTAAATGATATTCATCTTCCATCAAAATTTTGTCTCTGTATTTACCCCATCTGGTCCTGTTGATCGAAGGATGTACCATGTGTCCATGAAAATGTGATTTAATTAGTGGCATTGATTCATGGCAGATTTTTATCATCCTCTTTCCTTCTAGATTTTACAATAAGGCAGGTAATTGATCAATGAATTATTTTGACACCCACAGAACCCACAAATCTGTATAAAATATACTAACATCCCCATTTTTTTTTAACTTTACCTTCCTGTTTTATCCAGATTGTGGGTTTTAGGTTTTTCAAAATGGCAAAGCCTAATTTTGTGTTCTTCATTTAAAATCACACAGCACTTTTCTAGATTCTTCTGCTTGCCCTAACACTCCTCTCCAGTTGGCACACTCAGCCTCTCACCTTCCTCCCACGTGGGGAGCTTTCACTCTGATCAGGCCTCACCCTGCTCAGTCAGCTGCTGAGAGCTGACCCCACAGTCCTCACCGCTGCTACCTCGCCTCATGCTTGCACCTGGGGTCCCATTGTTCCTGCAGTCAGCAACGCTTCGCCTTTTCTGTTGTTGGTGTCCTGTCTGTTTGCCTCTGCCCTTCCATAACTCAGCTCGTGTTTCCCCAGAAAACTTTTTTCTTTCTTCCTTTTTTTCTTTTCTTCTTCTTCTTCTTCTTCTTCTTCTTCTTCTTCTTCTTCTTCTTCTTCTTCTTCTTCTTCTTCTTCTTCTTC